GCTTGCCAAGGGCGGGCTCAAACACAGCTGCAGAAGCAAAAATCCTTTCCATATTTTCGCACTCACCCCTCGGCGCGAAAGGTATCAGATCCACACATGTGGCAGCCGCTTTCAGCAGAACAGCTTATCGGGGACCCAAGCTTAACGCTTACGTAACTTCTTCAATCATCATGATCCGACTCCAGCTGTCCATCTGATCGCATGCTACGGAAACGTCTGTAGGCAGCCGACTCATGGGCATCCGGAGAATCCATCTGCGCTCCAGAAGCATTCCTGCTCTTCATAGAGAAGGAGATCTGACGTGGCAAGCCAGCAGGAATCCGACGAGTGGTGCTCAGCGTGTAGAAGACAATTGATGCGAGGGTTGGCTGATGCATGCCGTTCCCCGCAAGGTGCTTCATCTCACATCTCGACAAAGACCTGGCAGCAATCAAGAGCTGCAAAATGCTCACCCCCTTCAACGCAGGACGCTGGTCCACAAGATGGACGCCCTGAGCAGCAAGGTGCTCCTCAGGCACCAGGCAACGCTGCTTCGTCCATGAGTGGAGGCAACCATGGGTGATCAAGGTTGGAAGAAGAGATCCTGCCTTGGGCCCATACCCAACATTTTGATCGAGGTCAGCTATGTAAGCTGCGCCCGAACTGGCATTGCTCTGCTTCCTCAACTTATCATGGCAACGGAGCCGCTCCTTGTGTCCCACCGAGTAGTACTGGACCCAATTTGCACCTTCCAGCTGAGCCGGAACTGCCATGTGCCTTTGCTTGGCCAAGTACTGCAATTCTCGCAGCACAATGTCAGAGTTCGCATTGAAGTACGAATCACCTGTCAGGATCAACTCACGCTGAAACATGTCAAGGTAGCCTTCCATGTTGCCAAAGGTTGCGAACCTTTCACGATGACAGAAGACTGCACACATGCGGGGGCGGTTCATAGGATGCCCAAACACCACAGGACCGGGGTGGTCATAGAACGTCAGAATGTACAGATCCTCAAACCACCATTTCAAGACATTCTTGTCGAAGTGCGCAGCACTCTCCACAAAGATGAAGTCCAGCTCAAGAGCTCGCATGGAACTAGCCCACACGTGAAGATCCTTCATGCTGGAGTGGGACAACCTGGCGTTGGTACCCAAAGGTGTGAAGCCAAGGCAGGTGACCCCAGCTATGCCCATCGTGATAGCACCTGGATCAAGACCATGATCCTCTGGCTTCATGGAACAGACGCGTGTTGCGCCAAAGTGTCGCATGCAAGGGCCACGCACAGCACCATCAGGGCATACCTCTTTGCAGACCTTCAAGAGATACTTTGCCACGTCATGGTAAACTTTCTCATGGGCTTGCTTCTTGTCAACACCTAAGGCAACAAGTTCTTTGGCCTCCAACATGATGCAATCAACTTGTCGCCGAATCTCATACGGCAGCCTATCCTCCAAGTTTTCAAAGTGATGCTCCGCAGGGTTGCCACCATCAAGGCACACCTTGATGGGAGCCTTCGCTTGATCACAAGTGTAGGCTGTGCAAAGCTGCGCCCTACTTGGCAACCCCAAAGGCAAATGCACTTCTGCCAGCAAGCGAGATACAGCATCATCTGCTAGCCTTGCGTCTGCATAGTCCGAGGCGAGTAGTACACCCTGCGAGAGATTGCGCGCCAAATTCCTCTTCAGGTCTGGTGCTTCGCAAAGGTCATCAGCCAGCTGCAAAGGCCATGTGACCAGCTGGTGTACCGTGTAGGGCCCAGCGGGTCTCGTAGCATTAGGGTAGATGCTTCTGCTGTCCTCCTCCAAACAAGTTCGCATGCGCTTCAATGCATGCACCTCCTCCGCCATTCAGCAACACCTAC